TTTTTTTGGGTCGTTTTTTGTGGGAATGATATTAAGGCTTCCAAAAACAGATAACCGCGTTTTCGCTTTTACACTTGGATTCAAAAATGTGATGTATCTCACAATGGCGACGGTCGAGGCACTCACTCTTGAAACGGATGAATTGGGCGAAAATGCAAAAGAACTTGGGTTTAGTTATATTTGTGTTTACCAACTGACCTTTATGGTGGCATTTTTTGTTTTGGGGTATAACTTTATTAACTTGAATACACGAACAAAAGATAATGAAGAAGACAAAAACAGTAAAGAGGAGAATGTCACGGAGATGAAAATAGATGAAACAACCCTCCAAAATAACACTGAAATATCGATGGAAAACTCTTTTGAAAAGTCTCCAAAGCCAAAACAGACGACTGGAGACACAGAATTGCACATCTCTTCTTCAAAGAAGCAAAAACATAAAATGTCAAAAAAGACGAAGAAAGAGGAAAAAGTGAATTTACTTGAAACAGAAATTGAAGAAGAAAAAGTCTTAGAAACACCCGTTGTTTCAAATGTTTGTGACTTACAAAATGACGAACAAAAAGCCTTCCCAAACAGAGAGAAAATCCACGCAAGTCCTCTTGTAGAAATAGAAATGGACGATTCAAAAACATTAGAAGAAAAGACTGAAACTGTTGAACAAAACTTTGTAATTGGCGACACGCAAACAACATTGGAAATGCCACTACAAAATTCACAACATAAATTTTCCTCAAAAATTACACAAATTTACGAAACCCTAAAATTAACAATCAAAAAAGTTATAACAAAAGTGTCTCAACCGTTCATATTTTTGTGGTCGAAGTTGCCTGAAATTGTCAGGTTTTCAATCAAAAACTTTTTCTCCATCCCAACGATGTCTGCTATTTTTGGAATTATTTTCATGTTGATAAAACCACTCAGAGACACGTTGTTAGTCAGTGGAAATTGGAGTATTATTGGAAGGTGCATTTATTATTTGGGAAGTCCTACCGTTTTTTGTGCCCTCTTTTTACTTGGAGGTAGTTTGGCAAATGGCCCGAAAGGGGGGAATATCAAAACGTGGAAAATACTTGTTGGGATTATTTATAGAATGGTGATATGCCCAGTTGTGTCGTGGGTTTCTATTTATATGCTTTATAAATACCAAATTCTCCCACAAAATAAAGTGATGTATTTTGTGTTACAAATTGAATCTTTTTCACCACCGGCTTTAAATAGTTTGATTGTGGTTAATGTGTGCTACCCCAAAGGCGTTGATTCAACGTCAACTATTTTGTTCTGGTGTTATATGCTCGCTATTTTTACATTTGCAGTGGATATTGTTATAACTATGAATACGATTTGATTGTTCTTTTGATTTTGTTTGAGTTGAGAAATACAGTTTACATTTTTATAAACTTTATTGTTAAGAACATCACAAAAACATAGGAAAATTGTTACAAATTTGACAACAAAATACAATGTTTAAAAAAGGTATAAAAAAATCGATAACATGATTTATCTTTTTAATTAAAAAGTTAAACAAAACGTCTAAATATATAAATAATTTATTCACAAGAAATAACTTTTAGAATGTCATTTTCTCAAATTGATCCCATGACATTCTTGTGTTTTCTTCTATTTGGAGAAGTTTTTTGTCAATTTCAATCAGTTGACTAAATTCTTCTCCTTTCTTTTCAAAATACAATTCCTCGTTGTACTTTGCTAAAAGTTCCTTTTCAGTTTCACACAGAAATGGTAACTTTCCATACAATAAATAGTATAATACAACACCTGCTGAATATAAATCAGACTTTGAAGTATATTTATCTTTTCTTATAATTTGGGGCGACGCATATAATGGAGTTCCAACCAAAGAATCCATTGACTCAGTAGCCTTAATACAAAGCCCAAAATCACACAACTTTACTTTCAAACTTTTCTCTTCATTAATAAGAATGTTCTCCAGTTTAATGTCTCTATGAATAACACCAAAATTACGATATAAATAGACCATGGCATTTCTAACTCCGCTCATTATCTCTGAGATTTGTGTTTTACCAATAACCATATTGTTCTTCTTGGCTTTTTCAATATATTTAGCCAAGTCCATCTGGCACTCTTCCAAAATTAGAACTTTGGCATTGCAGTCTTCATAAGATCCTTCATAATGAATAACATTTTCGTGTTTTGTAATTGCAAGGAGAGTCTCCTCTTTGGTCAAAAAGAGTCGATTTCGCCCAGTGCTTTCTTTAAATACAACACTTTGCGTCTTTCCAAGGTTACACGTCCCGTCCGAATTAATAACGACTCTTTGGCCATTATAGACCGTTTTAATTCCTCTGTACACTTTCCCATAATTACCAGATCCTAATTCATTGACCGGTAAATACCAATCCTTTTCAACGTTTCTTGAGGACGTAGACCCAATTGTATTTAAAATGTATTCAACTAGAGAGTATTCACACGAGGCAAAGGAACATGTGAATGTGTCATTAAAGAACTTTCCTTGCACAGTGTTACTCTTTACAGAGTCTTTGAGGCTTGACAATTTTGAATTGAGAACACCAAAAGGCGTCATCTTAAATTCAGGAAATGGTGACGTGTACACACTAAATAGTCCGATGCCGCCATTTTGAATTGAAGAGTCAAACCCTTCTAATTGAATTTCTCTTGTTTTATTAGCAATTTTATTGAGTTGGTGTGAGTGAAAGACTCTCTCTTCATATGAGACAAAATCCTTATAATAATTCCCAACACTTATATTGAGTGGACACTGGAGCAATAGCACTAGATGGAGTTTTCCATTGAGAATTGTTGTTCTGGTGTAGTTGATCTTCACACAAGAGTCAGAGCCAAGACTCATAGTGTTATACTTGTCTAAGCAACTTTGAATCGCTGACTTGGCTTCTTCACTTAAAAGCGCAACAGAGAAGTCGACTAAAAGTTGAGTGGTTGTTGTCTGCCATTGGGAAGAGTACTTTGGCTTGATAATGACTTTGGTGGCCGTGTAAAAGGGAGTGGAAACATAAAATTCATCGGTGTATGACGAGATAATCGACTTAAAATTCATTGAGGGATTATGGTCTTTGGAGATTCACTCACGTTTTTATTCACCATTGAAATTATTTATAATGATTTGTTCTTAATGAGCTCTTACCGTTTTCTGTTATTTTTAAAAAGGGTTTTTAAGGCTTGTTTTGCTGAATTAACATGAAATAAAGTAGGTGGTCTTTTGTACTTTATTTTTATGTCTCATATAATTACAATGAGATTTGGCAAAGAAGTAATTAATGTTCACACGATAAGAATTGAATCAAATTAAATGAGTCCAATATATAATAGTTTATTTTACTAATAATTTTTAATTCTTTACTATTAAAATCTGATATTTAAGACTTGTTTTGTATTGAGCTTAAGAATTAATAAAGATGATTAATTCGGACCTTTTTGGTAAACAGGAACTTTGAAGTTTAAGGTGTTTATTTTTGGTTTTATTAAAGTGTGATAAATTGGTTACTAATATGTATTATATTTTAATAATAATAATTATTATTATAATAAGTTTATAAATTTAAAAATGAAAAAAAACTTTTTAT